CATGAGGTTAAGTAGACTCTTTCAGGATCCACAAAGACGGATTCAGCAAAGCCAGGAACATATCCACTCTTACCAAACTTTAGTCCCAGGCTGGGAATGTCATAGTCATTGAATAGACATTTACTAAAAAGAATTTAAAAACAAGAATAATTTCAAAGCCATGGTAAGGTAGAAATTTGGTCACAGTAAGTCAAAAGCTGGCTTTGAGATGAAAACAGTATGTGAAATTAAAAGCCTAGTTACAGAAGGACAGAGCTATGAGAACGGGGTGTTATAGTTTCAAGGGAAGTTTTTAAAATTTTTTTTTACATTTATTTTTGCTGTTTTGGCTGTGTTGGGTCTTTGATGCTGCACACAGGCTCTAGAGCACATGAGTTTCAGTAGGTGTGGCACACAGGCTCAGTTGCATGTGGAATATTTCCAGACCAGGGACTGAATCATGTCCCCTGCATTGGCAGGATTCTTGACCACTGAACCGCCAGGGAAGTCCAGAAATTTTTTAACTCATTCTCACATGAGACCCGACTGCAATTTTAAAGAGAGAAGTAAATATATGATCCTTTTTATATGTCCCTATTCCCTGGTGGTTCAGCAGTAAAGAATCTGGCTGCAATGTGGGAGCTGCAGGAGGTGGGGGTTCAATCCCTGGGTCAGGAAGATACCCTGGAGGAGGAAATGGCAACCCACTCCAGTATTCTTGCCTGGAAAATTCCATGGACACAAGAGCCAGGCGAGCTACCTGAGTCCCAAGAATCCATGGGGTGGCACAAGAGTCAGACACAGTGAGTGAGCACACAGCACACACACTACATCACTAGTTCTTTATAATTCCTCATTCATTCAGTACACTTTTTAACTAAACACTGACTGTACATGAAGAGCTGGCATAGATGCTAGGAATACGAACAAAGTAAAGAAATCCCTCCCCTCCAGAAAGTGGTGTTACTGGTGTTGGTTCTTAAACAAACTACTTAAATTTCTTAAAGGCAGGCTCTCTGAGCTCCTTGGAAACCTGCTAGGATAACCTGTGCTCTGCATGTGAACAGGCCTCACAGCCTTGCGTTAGGTTATCTGGCTTGTCACCTCCCTGTAGCTTGGATCTTCCTCCAGGACAAGGACAAGACTCTGGTCCTTGCATCCTCAGACCATGGCAATGGATGGGGCAGGGGAGAAGAGGACAAAATCTAGTAGTAAATGGGTTAACGTCACACAGGGATGTTTACATTTGTTGGTTTGTTTATTTGTAACCTTAGAAAGAATTTTCTGTGCTAAGCATTTTGCCCAAAGTCACAGAGAAGCTTGGGTCTGGGTAGAGCTGAGAGAAAGCCCCTCATCTCTCAACAATAGTTCCAGGGCTTGATTACAAGCACAGTGTCATCTGAACACTCCCATTTTAAATAAATGACTCCTGCTAGAATATTCTTTTGTACAGTATCTGAAAGATTAGAGATACTGGTAGAAATAAGGTAATGAAACATGAGATACACTTCAGGAATGTTTCTTAATAACATGTGAGGAGCTGTCACTATTGAATGAAATCATCAACTGTTCTCTGAAATTCCTAAGAATCTACCCAGAAAGGAATCTTTCTCTCCTCCTTATCTTGACAACCACCCCAGAGAACAGCTAAGTCTTCACGTTCCCAAGTGTTTCTCTTCTCAGAATCAGAGTTCAGAATAAGCAGCTTCCTTTTTCATTCATCCTGAGAAGGATGGAGCAGCAACGAGCTCACACTGCCCCCTCCTGGTCCACCCACTCCCTAACAAGGAACATACATTCACTGCTTCCAGACCCTCTCAGGCTCTTTTCACTCCTGTTAAAAAAAAAGAAAAGAGGAAAAAAAAAAACAACAGAATGCCCCCACAAAAGTCAAATGTCTTTATTTTATATATATAAAAAAAAATTTTGTACAGTTTTAATTCCTATGTTTAAGAAAAAAAAAACCCTAAAATTGCCATAATGTTTAGATCCACTGCAAACTGTAAAAACAAGCTTTTCATATATTAAAAAAAAAAAATTTACATTTTACAACTTTCTACATGCATGCACAAGGTCTCAGCTCTGTAACCCAAAAAAAGGGGGGAAAAAAATCTAGATCCAACAGTGGAAAATTCTACATTTACAATCTCACTTGGAAGGAACTCAAAAAGCCCCCTTCCTTGCACACACAAAAGAACAAATCACAACACTCACACACCGGGACCAACTCCATCAGCAGATGCTGCCCCGTGGGGAAGGCAGAGGAAAGAGAAGACAGACTGACAGACACCACAGAGGGCCAAAGGGAGCTCATCCAGGCCCAGAAGAGAAGGAGGGAAGCTTCAACTCCGGGAAACAGCTGTTTCAGATGAGAAGGGATCCCAATGTCTCATCACAGGTATTGCAACAGGGTTGGCAACAGGACTGAGGTGGGGAGGGGGAAGTGAAAAGGAGAGGGCTGAAATGGGGGTGGGGGGGGAAGGAGAGGCAAAAGGGAAATGAACAAGATCAGAAATAGAGAGCACGCAGAGTAGTGTAAGAGACCGGGGCCGATGGGGACAGCGGCAGAGTGGCGAGGTAGGTGAAGGACCGAGGCACAGTATCCTGGTGTGGAGGGAAGGAGGACCGGCCTTCCCCGGTGGTAGAAACGAAGGCCTGGGAGGAGAGGCGGGCATGAGCTAGGATGCCATGGGGTCACAGAGAAGCACTGGAGAGACGCAGCCATAGCATCCTTGATGACGGTGTGGGGTGGTGATGGGTGGGCACACCCCCACGAGGGAAGGGTGAGAAAGTCCAGCCTGTGATGGGACAGAGTGGGGGACGCTGGTCAGAGGGACCGAGGCAGCTACAGACCCCACCTCAGTTCACAGTATGCAGACAACTTCCCACACAGGAGAAGCAAAAGACAAACACAGCCACACACGTGACAGTTCATCCTGACATTTTAAAAAATAACAGTAACAGTAATCAAAGAAGACGAAGATACCACAGTTCTGACGCAAAGGACCAAAACATGACCAGTCTCAGTTACAGCCCTTAGTGCTTAGAGAGAGAGTCAGGGTGGGGGGAAATGTCTTTTTGTTTTAGTTAAAAGGAATGAAAAAATCACAGTGATTAAAAAACATGGCAGGTTCTTAAAATAAACACTCCCCCACCCCTCATCTAGGGCAGCAACTATGATCACAGATACTTTCCCTTCTCCCCACCCAACTCTTCCCCAAACCACACCACATCCCACTCCTGCCCACAACGGCAGTGACCCCAGTCACCATCCAGGCCCCATTTTCCAGGATAGTGAGGTATTTAGAAATGTGATCCAGAAGGGATTCCTCTGAAACCAGGTCTTTGAAGAAAAGAAAAAAAAAAAAAAACCTTCCCAAGACCCCCAGGACAGGATGTGTATCACTGGGCTTATCTTCAAACCCACAGCCCCAGCCCAAGGCTGCCCTCCAGGCCCTGCTTAAGTCAGCCGTGTAACCCACCCATGTGCAGACAAGGTAAGCACTGGCTGAAGTGCTTCTCGAGGAAGCGGTGTGTGGACAGATGTGCTTTTTCAGAAAGGACGGCAGGACAAACAATCCCCAGGCTCCATCATGCCCAGAGTCGCCAATACAGAGAGGAAGCCTCCCTGGTAAGAGATCAATGGGGGATCTTACCCCAGGGTGCCCCCTGCAAGGCAAGAACCAATGAGTTTTCCAGGGGAGAGATGGGCCTACAAAGGGGCATTGTGAGTTATTCTGAGGACTGGCCCAGGGGACTGCTCCAGCCGGGCCACGAGGACACTCCCCAACCTGGGTGCTGGCTGGAGGTATGTGAGTACTCCTTAGTTCTATTCCCCTTGGCTAAAACTACATAATTTAGGGATGTCTGATTTCAAGGCTCAGATTTACAGGGAAATTAAGTATTAGAAGGCCAGCAACTTTTGCTCAAAATGAGAGTGAAACTCTCAAGAATTCAGATTGGGTGCAAAGACTACGGAAGCTAAATGGGGTGAGGGGCTAAGTACCCAACAAAGGCAGCAATCTTGGTCCCTCATCCCATTACAGAGGGAGACCAGAGCCCAGAAAACCAGGCAGAGAGGGAACTGGGGGGACCCTGGCCAGCCAAGGAGAAGAGACCCCTGAGGCAAAGAAGTGGACTTAAGGCAGGGGATGAGGAGGAGCTGCTGGCTACCCCCCCAAAAAGAGATGAGGCAACAGGTCTCTGGAGCCGAGAGAAGAGACAGCAAAATGGGGGGTGGCTGGTGAAGAAAAGAAAAACATTTGTCTGAGACCACTGGGGTGGGTCAGGGTCCAGCCAAGCCACTAATTCTCTACAGAAGTCTATGTGGCATCCTTCACCAGGAAGGGGGAGACCCACCCCAGCATGGTGGGAGCAAAGGTGTGGGCAGTTCAGAGGGTAGTGGTCAGCGATGTTCATGGGGCTCTCTCCCGACCTTCCCCAAGGGGCTGCCTAGGAAAGACCCCGTGGAAGAAAGGTACTTGCCCCCCAGGGCCCATGAACTTCCCCTGCTCTGAATATGTGGATGGGGAAGAGGTTCGAAGAGATGGAAGCAAACAACCCTGGGTGGGGAGGCTCCAACTCAGGTTGTGTGGGAGGACACGGGGGGATCCCTGCTTAAGAATTCCGGGTTTGCTCAGGTGGGGTGAGCGAACGGGGAGCAGGTCCATCTGCCACCAGGAGGCTGCGGGCAGCGCTGCCCGGGGGGTTTGGCACTGTGGCTCTCTGGAGTCAGATCTGCACCCCCCAACGCCCAGAGAAATCCTTTGGGGAAACCACTGGAGAGAACTGCTATAAGAACCTGGGTTCAAATGGGGCTCTGCCAGGCCCTTCCAGAAGAGGCTGTTGGCGGGGAAAGGAGAGGGAGAGAGGCACTGATTCCTGCAGGGCCCGGAGTGATACGAAACCAGGGGGTGGGAGAAGGGAGGGGCAGGGAAAGGAGTGGACAGGGCAGGGTCACCGGGGTGCGGGGACAGCATTTGCTCAGGTGGCTCCCACGTCAGAAGCCAGGGGGGTTTGGCACTGTGGCTCTCTGGAGTCAGATCTGCACCCCCCAACGCCCAGAGAAATCCTTTGGGGAAACCACTGGAGAGAACTGCTATAAGAACCTGGGTTCAAATGGGGCTCTGCCAGGCCCTTCCAGAAGAGGCTGTTGGCGGGGAAAGGAGAGGGAGAGAGGCACTGATTCCTGCAGGGCCCGGAGTGATACGAAACCAGGGGGTGGGAGAAGGGAGGGGGAACTTCCCAGGTACTGTTGACAGCAGGATGTCTCTCCAGGTTCACACGGGGTAAACAAGGAATGGGGAGGAGCCAGGTGGGGGAGGGGGGTAATTCAAGTAAAAAAAAAGGCTAGAGCAAGAGGAAGAAGGGCGGCAGGAACGTGGCAGGGCCTGAGAACCAAGCCCCCACTGCCGCCCTCAGGAGCCCCCCGAGTCTCCCAGTCCCCCTGCTGTAGTGCAGTCACACTGAGGTCTCAGACTGCAGCCTCATGACAAACTTGTGCGACTTGGGGTCCACAAATTCCTCGGAGAGTTTGAAGAATGGGACCTTCTTGGTGCTGACCACCAGGCTGAAGTCCTGGCGCTTCAAGAGGAAAACAATGCCATCCTTGAGCCCGTTGGTCACCGGCTCCTCGCTCACAAGTGTCCACTGCTTGGCCAGCCAGCGCTCCTTGTGATACTGGATGGTGGGTCCAGCTGCCAGGTACCGCTCCAGGAAGGCCTGCGGAGGCGAGAGGGGAAGTTGCAGGAAGTCTTCCCTCCCACCTACCCACGTCCCCTTTACCCCTCTGGGGGTAGAGCTTCCAAAGACCACCAAGATGTCCCAAGCTCACTCTATGCAAACAATCTCAGAATGTTAGAGCAGAAAATTGCCTGAGATCATCTGCCTGGGACCCTGGTTTATCAATGCAGGAGCAGGAGCCCACAGAGGCGGTATGGCTCAGCAGGGTCAGGTCTGGGATTGGCTCTCCTGACCCCCACACCCCCTGCTCTTCCCAGGTACCTGCTATGACCTGGGAAGCAGGTCCCTCCCTTATACTCTTTCCTCTCCCTTCTGCTCGAGTGGGTAGCACTCAGCAGGGCTGCACCAGCAGAAAGCTAGAGGCATCACAGCTGAAATGCAACATCTATAGTGACCTGTTCCCCAGAGATGGCTCAGGGGAGGCAATTCTAGGAAGCTGGCCATAGAACTGGACGGTGGAACTGGCTCAAAAAGAGCATAGAGCAAACAACGCCTGGTGGGAGTTTGGATCTGAAAATTCTGGAACCTCTACAAAGATGAGAAATAGGTCTCAGTTATTCCCCAGATGGTCCCCAAACTCCCTCTTCTCAGCACCTAAGAAAGCTACCCCATTCAGAGATGGAGCAGATGGAGTAGGGATGAGAGACTGTAAGGAGGCAGGGACAGGAGAGGGATGGAGGTCAGGGAAGGAAGTGAAAGAATAAGGGAGAGGAAGCAGAAGGGAAGAGGCCAGAGTCAGGGAGAGAGAAAGGATGTTGGGGCAGGTGGGCCTACCTTGGGCGTCATGTCGTGAGTGATGCAGAACTCAAGGTGCTGTAGGATGCTCTCCATGGTGTGGTAAGGCTGCTGCTTGGTGGTGCGAAGGTACTTCTGCATGGCACGGGCCATGGATGCGAAGATGGCCTGGGCTGCCTCCCGGGGGTCCATCACCTCCCTGGGATTCTTCTGCTCCTCTTCCTGCAGCCGTTTAATGTGAGTGAAGGCCTCCTCCACTGCCACCACAAGCCTGGGGGAGACAAGGGGTGTGGACCAGACTCCCACCTCTCATCTTCCCCGCAGCTTCAGCCCTCCAGCAGCCTGAGAGAGGTCAGGCCTTTGTGCTCTGCCTGGAGCTATAGGCTCTCATCTGGACTCAAGAACCAGGCTTTGGAGACTGTGTGTGTGCATATGAGAATGCATGCATATGGGTGGGAGGCAGAGGGTCTTCACCCCTCTAGAAATAGGAAACAGCTTTAGAGCTCAGTGAGCCCAGCCGGGGACCCACAGAGGACAATCAAGTGTCAAAGAGAGAGACAACTATGGACGGAACCCTAGAAAAAGTCTTTTTAATTAAGAGCCCCCCTGAATTGCACTTCAGTGCGTGAAACATTATTAGATATAACTACATCAAAATCACGCATATCTATTCAACCGTGATAGCCTGAGCAACATTAACTAACACCTGGGGTGGGCAAAGGTAAGGCAAAAAAATGTGCCACAAATCAAGAAGGAAAAGGTAAGAACAGAATAGAAAATGGGCAAAGAAGTGAAAAAATAATTCATAAGAGACCTGAAAGGCTGAAAAAAGATGAAGTTGTTACTAGATAGTAGTAAGAAAATTAAATGTTAAAAGGATACTACTTATTCATCAAAATGGAAAAAAAATTAGGCAAATGACTGGTCAAGATGTTGAAAGTATTCTCTGAGTGCTAGGCAGCAATAAGATCCAACAAACCAGATATACAGACAGGGTGAATCTCAAAAATATGTTAGTAGGAGGGAAGCAGGAAAAAGCAGCCCATTTACATTAAAAGTATAGAGACGTGCAAACACCAGTATCGGGGAAACCCAGGAACCGGGGGACTTCAAGTAGCTTAGGATAGGATTCTGGGCCAAGTACACATGTGGATCTGTGTAATTCTGCTGTATCTCTGTTTATTCTTTTGCCTCCCTGAGTGTCTCAGTAAAGTTCCTTTAGAAAAGATCCCTTTGTCTTAGGTGAACCAGGGGGAAAAGTCTTCTCTTGGGTACAACCAAGGTAATGGGGAAGGAAAGGGTCCGCTATGGTAGCAGCAGAGATCGTGGTCAAGGCAGAAGGCAGAGGAGGCAGGGAACTGTTCCAGCTTCCTTCCCACGGCAACTGGAGACTTGCTGCAACGTCACAGCAATGGGGCTGCCAATCTTCCATCTACTGCAGCCTCGTGTAAAAACAGGATCAGATGCTGGAGGAAAGGGAACCCTCTTGCCCTATTGGTGGGAATGTAAAATACAGCCACTACGGAGAACTGTATGGAGATGCCTTAAAAAATTAGGAATAAAACTACCATATGATCCAGCAATCCCACTACTGGGTGAATAACCCAAGAAAACCATAATTCAAAAAGACACATGCACCCCAGTGTTCATAGTACATACTAGTACATACAATAACTAGGACATGGAAGTCATCTATTTGCCCATCAAAAGATGAATGGATAAAGAAGATGTGGTATGTGTGCGTGCGTATGTGTGTGTGTGTGCGTGTGTATATATAATGGAAAATTACTCAGCCATAAAACAGAATGAATTTGAGTCAGTTCTAGTGAGTTATAACTCTGTATAACCTAGAGCCTGTTATACAGAATGAAGTGAGTCAGAAAGAGAAAAACAAATAAAGTATATTAATGTATATATGTGGAATCTAGAAAATGGTATTGATGAATCTATTTGCAGGGAAGGAATGAAGATGCAGATACAGAGAATGAACTTATAGACACACTGGAGAAAGGAAAGAGTGGGATGAACAGCAAAATCAGCACTGACATACACATACCACCATGCGTAAAACAGATAGCTGGTGAGAAGCTGCTGCATAACACAGCAAATCCAGCCTGGTGCTCCCTGATGACTTAGAGGGGTAAGCTAGGGGGAGAGGAGGGAGGTGATATATGTATAATTATGGCTGATCTCTGCCACTTTGTGCATTTTCTGACAGAAATCAGAAATCACTTTATGGCAGAAAGTGAAGAGGAACTAAAGAGCCTCAATGAAAGTGAAAGAGAAGAATGAAAAAGCTGGCTTAAAACTCAACATTCAAAAAACTAAGATCATGGCATCTGGTCCCATCACTTCATGGCAAATAGATGGGAAAACAATGGAAACAGTGACAGATTTTATTTTCTTGGGCTCCAAAATCATTGCAGATGGTAACTGCAGCCATGAAAGGCAACTGGAGACTTGCTGCAACGTCACAGCAATGGGGCTGCCAATCTTCCATCTACTGCAGCCTCGTGTAAAAACAGGATCAGATGCTGGAGGAAAGGGAACCCTCTTGCCCTATTGGTGGGAATGTAAAATACAGCCACTACGGAGAACTGTATGGAGATGCCTTAAAAAATTAGGAATAAAACTACCATATGATCCAGCAATCCCACTACTGGGTGAATAACCCAAGAAAACCATAATTCAAAAAGACACATGCACCCCAGTGTTCATAGTACATACTAGTACATACAATAACTAGGACATGGAAGTCATCTATTTGCCCATCAAAAGATGAATGGATAAAGAAGATGTGGTATGTGTGCGTGCGTATGTGTGTGTGTGTGCGTGTGTATATATAATGGAAAATTACTCAGCCATAAAACAGAATGAATTTGAGTCAGTTCTAGTGAGTTATAACTCTGTATAACCTAGAGCCTGTTATACAGAATGAAGTGAGTCAGAAAGAGAAAAACAAATAAAGTATATTAATGTATATATGTGGAATCTAGAAAATGGTATTGATGAATCTATTTGCAGGGAAGGAATGAAGATGCAGATACAGAGAATGAACTTATAGACACACTGGAGAAAGGAAAGAGTGGGATGAACAGCAAAATCAGCACTGACATACACATACCACCATGCGTAAAACAGATAGCTGGTGAGAAGCTGCTGCATAACACAGCAAATCCAGCCTGGTGCTCCCTGATGACTTAGAGGGGTAAGCTAGGGGGAGAGGAGGGAGGTGATATATGTATAATTATGGCTGATCTCTGCCACTTTGTGCATTTTCTGACAGAAATCAGAAATCACTTTATGGCAGAAAGTGAAGAGGAACTAAAGAGCCTCAATGAAAGTGAAAGAGAAGAATGAAAAAGCTGGCTTAAAACTCAACATTCAAAAAACTAAGATCATGGCATCTGGTCCCATCACTTCATGGCAAATAGATGGGAAAACAATGGAAACAGTGACAGATTTTATTTTCTTGGGCTCCAAAATCATTGCAGATGGTAACTGCAGCCATGAAATTAAAGGACACTTGCTCCTTGAAAGAAAAGCTATGACCAACCTCAGTTCAGTCAGTTCACTCACTCAGTTGTGTCTGACTCTTTGCGACCCCATGAACTGCAGCACACCAGGCCTCCCTGTCCATCACCAACTCCTCCCGGAGTCCACCCAAACCCATGTCCCTATGACCAACCTAGACAGCATATTAAAACACAGAGACATTACCTTTGCCAACAAAGTCAAAGCTATGGTTTTTCCAGTAGTCATGTATGGATGTGAGAGTTGAACTATAAAGCTGAGCACTGAAGAATTGATGCTTCTGAACTGTGGTGTCAGAGAAGACTCTTGAAAGTCCCTTAAGGAGATCACACCAGTCAATCGTAAAGGAAATCAGTCCTGAATATTCACTGGAAGGACTGATGCTGAAGCTGAAACTCCAGTATACCTGAAACTCCAATACTTTGGCCACCTGACTCATTGGAAAAGACCCTGATGCTGGGAAGGATTGAAGGCAGGAGGAGAAGGGGACAACAGAGGATGAGGTGGTCGGATGGCATCACCGGCTCGATGGACATGAGTTTGAGCAAGCTCCGGGAGTTGGTGGTGGACAGGGAAGCCTGGCGTGCTGTGGTTCATGGGGTTGCAAAGAGTTGGACACGACTGAGCGACTGAACTGAACTGATCGCTGATTTGCACTGTTGTACAGCAGACACCAACACAACTTATAAAGCCATTTTCCTCCAATTAAAATAAACCTTTTTAAAAACTAAAAAAAAAAAAAGGAACAGAGTCAGGGCTCCCTTCCTCCTTCGAAGCCTGGCGGTCATGTGTGAGGAAGGGCAGAGTCCCAAGACCCTCTGTTCCTCCCCTGTAGAAATACCAACAGGTGAAGGCGGGCCCTGGCAAGCAGTCAACACCAAGAAAGAATCTTCAGGCATGGACAGCATTCACATGACAATGTGAACACGAAAAAAGGAAGCATGAGGACGGTGTTTAAGAATTTACCAAGATATGGGCACTAGAACCTCATTTTTTGCAGGTAAAAATGTACCATCTGCTGAGCAAGCCTCCAAGATTTACTGGAAGGAGGGCTGGTCTAGCCTCCGTCCCCGCCATTGCCGGGGAGGCTCACGGGCTTAACGGCCCCTGTCCCACTGTGCAGGCAGAACTCAAAGGCCCCATCCACCTCCACCAGACCGCCATCCCCTGGTTAGCCAATAATCTTGGTATGTTTTGCAGAGGTAATGAAAGTGCCAAGTCGGCTGACTTTAAAATAAGGAGGTTACCCTGCAGACCTAATTTCATCACAAGCCCTTTGAAGTGGAGTTTTCTCCGGCTGCTGGCCAGAGACCTACCTGGTCTTGCTGGCCTCAAGGAAAACTGCCTATGGGTCCAGGTGACCAGGAATTGATTCTGCCAGCAACCAGTGAGCTTGGAAGGGGACTAGGGCTAAAACTAGATTTGTTCTTGATTTCAGCCTGTGAGCCCTGAGTGGAGGGTTCAGCTCACCCGCTCCTGACTCTCAGGACTGCACAATAAATGTGAGTTGTTTCACAGCACCCAGTTCATGGTGACTTATTACGGCAGCCACAGAAAACGAACACACACATGCCAACCACATCACCATCGGCTACAGAAGCCAGGGGGTCTTCCCCTCCCCAGCGGCCCCGCCCCTGCCCGAGACCCACCTGGCCCTCCGCTTGCGCACCCTCCGCTCGTGCTCGGCCTCCTCGTAGTAGTACTCGTTGTGGCTGTTGTCCCGCCTGCGGGCCGCCGCTGCGATCACAGCTCGGGACTGACCCGTGGAGTTGTTGGTACTGTTTTCTGTGCAGAAACAGGAGAGAGAGAGGTTGGTCCCTTCAGAGCGCCGCCTTGATGCCCACTCCAGGAAGTCTGGGGCCAGCCCCCCGACACGTGCGGAGGAAGCTGGACCACCCCCCAGGAACACCTCCCGTCCCCATGTCCCCATCCCTCCTGGACACGAAGTCTGGGAGAGGCCCACAGCAAGGCCGCAAGGGGGCACCAGAGAGCAGGAGTCCCGCGCGGGTCCCTCCCGCGCTCCCCGAGCCAGGGCTGAGGCGCAGACACAGCGGGGCCAGGGGAAGGGGACACACCGCAGCAGAGAGGGAAAGAGAGGAGAATCAGCAGCTAAAACCAGCCACCCGGCGTGGAGGAGGTGACCGAACAGGACGGGCTGGGATGCAGTCTGCGNGGGGGGGGGGGCATCCTGCTCCCACGTTTAGGGAGCCGAAGAACCTCCCTCGTTATCTTTTCCCTGGCGGGCCCTTCCTCTGGCCAGCTCATCTCAGTGACCGCTCACTGAGTGCCCTCAAGAGGCTGTGTCTCCAAGAGCTAGAAACGTGGTGATTCCAAAGAATCACACACACCTTTCTCTTCTTTGGTCCATCCCTCCGTAAGATACCCGATCCCTGATCCCTGATCATCTGTTCACTCCAAACTCCTAACTCCCACCCTATCTGCTCCAGGACCCTCAGCATGATCCCACCATCAAGCAGCAAACACTGTTGAAAACCTAGAATGTGCGGAGCACACAACTTCCCACCCAGCCTTCCGAGCGCGTCACCTCCGGCCCCACCATCACACCACGCCGCCCCATGCCCTACAGTCCCCTCCGCCCCGCCCCAGGCCCGCCGCCTGTCCCCAGGCGCCTGTACCTGAGGTGGCCCACGTTGTAGAAGCGGCTGGCCCCGTCCGTGGAGCGCACGACCTTGAGCGTGAACTGCGGCTGGAGCTGGCGCAGCTCCAGCAGGACCACGGCCAGATAGTGCACAAAGAGCAGGGCGTCCACCAGGGACACGGCAAACTGCACCACGCCCTGGTAGCTGCGCTCGCGGGCGTCCAGGATGCGAACACCATAGAAGAGCCAGTAGGACACGACGAGCAGGAAGACGAGCACCATGAGCAGGGCGCGCAGCACGAAGACGCGGGGCAGAGAGGCCTTGGGCCGGCGGAAGAACAGGGCCCAGCTGCCCAGCAGCAGGATGAGCAGCTTGAAGGCCACGGAGATGAAGAGGCCTTCGCAGGCCGTCCCGCACGGCTCCAGCTCCTCCCGCCACAGCAGTGGGGGCAGCAGCAGGAAAGCCAGAGGCGTGAGGAAAGAGAGCAGGGCCAGCGTAGCCCCCGCCGCCACACCCAGGTGCCGGGAGCAGTCCAGCGGGACGCTGTCTTCCATGTCCTTGGCGATGCGCGTGAGGTCATCGTGCGAGATGCTGTGCTCCGAGGTGCCCGTCACCACCGTGGTCGTCTCCCCCCAGTTGTCGTCCTACAGCCGGAGCGGCCGTGGTGATGGGGAAGAAGAGGAGGAGGAGGGGAGGCAGGGACACGGGAGAAGAGGTGAGGGGGAAGAAGACAGACAGCGAAGCAGGCAGAGGAGAAAAGAGGGTAGTCAACACCGTCAGAGGAGCCTGGCGGACTACAGTCCCTGAGTCACAAAGAGTCGGGCCCAGCTGAGAGACTAACACTTTCCCTGCGTGCCCAAGTCTGGCCTCTGCAGGGATGGCACATCTGAGACCCGGGCCCTCGGGGAGCTTCATGCCGTCAGCCAACCAGGAAACACCTGCACATGCACCCTCAGAACAGAGGGTCCAAGAGAGATGCCAGGGAGCTGCTCAGTCCGAGAATGGCACCTGAGGTCCAGACTCTCCAGGCAAAGCAAGCAAGATCGAGCAACCCACTCGCAAGGCCAGGATGTATCATGCTGTGCCGTGCTAAGTCACTTCAGCCACGTCCAACTCTTCGCAACCCCATGGACTATAGCCCATCAGGCTCCTCTGTCCATGGGGTTCTCCAAGCAAGAATACTGGAATGGGTTGCCATGCCCTCCTCCAGGGAATCTTCCCAACCTAGGGATCAAACCTGAGTCTCTTACATCTCCTGCACTGGCAGGTGGGTTCTTTACCACTAGCACTACCTGGGAAGCCCAAGGCCAGGGTAGGCAATAGGTACCTATCCTCAGAGTACAGAGAGCCACTCGAGTATCTGGTTAAGGGGGTGGTCTGACCAAGGCAGCATGGGGGAGGGAAGAGGACACCGAGAGGAAGGGATGAGGAAGGTGAGAGACTAGTGCAGGGCATGCAAGGCGTGGTGCAGACTCAGGGCCACTCGGGGTCTCTGCTCTGTCTGGCTGGCTCTTCTGGCCCGTCTGAACGCCCACCACATGGGCATTTCCCCACGGGAAGGGGAGCCTGAACAGAAGGCAGAAAGTGGAGGCACTGCCTGTCTCAGCTCAGGGAACCCGTGAGTAACCTCAGCCACCATACCGACACGTGTGCTCCAAGTTTCAAGAGCCTGGGCACACCCCCCAACAACAGAAGAGCTGATCAGGCTCACTTCAAGAACTCAGGAGGCCAGGTCTCTGGGAGAAGACGGGATTGGGAAAGAGGGAGAAAGATCATCTCCCTCGGGTACTGATCTGCTTCCAAGCCCCAGAAAGCCCCTGGGTCAGTCATAGAGATGTCTCGTGAGGTCTCCAGCTCCCTAAGATGCTCCCAAGAAGAAAGGGGGAATGATACATGGACCACCTCAGTCATCCCAAATCCTGCCTCTTCCCTCTTCTAGCCCTGGGCGCTGCCTCCTGCCCTCCCTGCCAGGGGCACACAGTGGGCCAGAGAGGCGGGAGCAACCGGCCAGAAGCCCCCTCCCATCTTCCCAAGCTCACTTCCTCCTCCTCCATCAACTCCTCCCTCTGACCAGCGGGCGCTATTCTACAGTCCGACACCAGAGGGCACCAGAGTGCCCAAGGGAAACCAGGCTGCCACACCTCTAGCCCCCACCCACTGCCGTCCTCCCACTCCAGATTCCCAGTCCCCTAACTGGCTGGCATGAGCCCAGAGGAGAGGCAATTCCCATTACACAGCCCAGGTCACATGGGTCGTAAAAGATGAAAGACGCTGCTGCTTCCAAAGGGATCTCTGAACTCTACCAAGATTCTACAGAATTCTACTGAGACGAGGTCCTAGCTTGCGACCCTTAGCAGACCCAAAATGACCTTCCTCTCTGTGTCGAAAGAGGCCAGGTTTCCAGTCCCTTCCCCTTTTGGATGGGCCTCCAGCTTCTCCGGGGATCCGAGTGGAAACACCTGGTCCAGACCTCAGCCCCTGACGCTCACCCGCTCATCCCCTCGCGTGGACTCATTGTCCAGCAGAGGCTCCCCCGGAGCCTGGATCGTCACCGACTTGTCCGCCCGGCTCCCGTCGCGGCTCTTGGAGCGGTGTCGGTCCCGGCGGTCCCTGCAGCAGAAGGCCAGGGGGACAGGCACGGCAGGTCAAGGGGAAGACCGCGTTTCTCAGCGGCCGGCTGCAGCCCGCCGGCCCTGTGGCGCGCCCACCCCGTGCACACCCACCTGTGCTTGCGGGAGCTGCGGGAGTGGCCAGACTTGTAGGAGTAGCCGGAGTACTGGGACTCGGTGTCCATGGCGTCCGAGCGCCGCGCCTTGTAGCGCTCCAGGGCCACAGGCGGGGGCCCTCTGGGGGGCGCCCCTGCCACCTCCTTCAGGACCGGCTTCTTCAGGCCAAGGGGCACCTTCAGGAAATCAACCGTCGCCCTGAGGGACTCTATCTTGCTGGACAGGTGGGCTTGTCTCGGAGAAAATCAAGCGGCGCTCCTGAGGAAAGGAAGCAGCTGGTCGGGGTGGGGCTGGAGCAGAGACGGAGGCCATGCCCAGGAAGCAGCCGCGGAAGCTCGGGAGCCTCGCTCCCACCTGAGAGCGGCCCCCCAGGCTCCTGCTCTGTCCAGTGGCCCAGTTCCTCCTGCCCTGCCTCCTAGCAAGAGCACCCCAGACTGTGCCCCGGGGTGGGGGAAGACGACAGCAAAGGCCACCCAGGATGACCCAACCCTGGACCCCCGCAGGGGAGAACTGGGCAGCACTTTCCTATCCTCAGCCAGGAACTCTGGAGAACGTGGGTTCTGGCCAGGCCAGCTGGCCGGCCCAGTGTAGACCGCAGCAGGAGGCAGCTAGCGTCAGTCCAGAGGCTACCCCAGGCCTCTCATCTCCTCCCATTCTTTTTTTTTTTTCCATTTATTTTTATTAGTTGAACATAGATGCAAAAAATCTCCTCCCATTCTTAATGTCTGAGTGCCCACAGACGGCTGCCTATGGCTGCTTCTCTTGGTGTTGTCTCCCTAGCATGTACGTCAAACATACAGTTACTGTGAGGTTAAGCTGGCTGTCCCCCTTAAGGCTGTGTGTGTGTCTGTGTCTGTGTCTGTGTCTGTGTCTGTGAGTGGCCTGACTTGTGTGCATGCATAAATGTGCTCACATGGCCAGGGTGAAGAATGTAAACTACAAATCACGTGGTGAGGGGCAGAAGGGGAAGGTAAGCAGAAACCATTCTCTAAAAACCTGACATCCTGAACCAGGCAATGTCAGCAGCTTATCTGACCGCTGTGGACCGAGGGGCAGCGTCTTTCTTCTACACTTTCACCTTCCAGTTCAGCAGAGGAGAAGGACCTCTCCTTCTCCCGTCCTCCCTAACTCTCACCCAACCCTGCTTACCACCTACCTCACAACCCAGCCCCGACCCCTTCACAAAAGCCCCCTTCGCCCTCAGCACCCAATGTTACATCCCTGGGCACTGAGCAGTTATTTCCCACCTTCACTCGCTGAGTCATCACCTCTTGCTTAGGCCCCATCTAGAAACCATATCCCCTGCCAAGCCCTGAGTACAATGGGGAAGAAACCCCGGATTCACAGCCCAGCAGGGTTGGTGCATGTAAACGGGTGCACATAAACAACTAACTACATCAGTGATGAAAGGAGAAGGATGAGGACAGTATGACAGACAAGTCTGGGGAGCAGGGCTCCTTTAAACTGAGTGGTTCTGGAAAATCTGAGAAAACCACCACCAAGCCTGAAGGAGCCCAGGGCTAAGCAGGTAGAGCGGAGGGAAAAGCCTGCAGAGCAGACAGCCACCCCCAGGAAGGCCAAAGGCAGCAGAGTTGGGTGGCCCAGTGGAGCCGGGTGTGAGGAAGGGAGAGGCAATGGAAGGTGAGGCTGAAGAGGTGGCCAGGGCTCGGGGTCAGGGAAAGTGTGCGTGCATGCTAAGTTGCTCAGTCACGTCAGACTCTTTGCGACCCCATGGACTGTAGCCCACCAGGCTCCTCTGTCCATGGAAGTCTCCAGGCAAGAACACTGGGGTGGGTTGTCAGGGGATCGTCCCGATCCAGGGATCAAACTCGCGTCTCCTGTGACTCCTGCACTGTAGGCGGATTCTTCACTGCTGAGCACCGGGGAAGCCCCGGGTTGGGGGAAGAGCTGGGTTAATTCAGTGGGAAGCCTGGGAAGGGTTTTAGCTCTCCAGACAGAGAGAAGGGAAGGCAGAAGTAGGGAGACGAGGGAGGAGGTGACTGCAGCGATGGGGCAGAGAAGCAGAGGAGGTGTGAAATGCTCACATTCATAACATACGTTGGGTAGGACCAGCAGGCCTTAATTGGACTGGCTGAGGGGGAGGGGAGCATCAAGATCTCTGGCCCGAGCATGAGAGGAGGTGGTAGTGCCATTACCAGGTGGGAAGACTGGGGAGGAACTGGCGAGTTCGGCTTCTGGCATGCTGAGTTCATGGCTGTGAGATAGGCAGTTAAACAGGAGGCTGAGCGTCAGAGGAGCTAGAGGCAGAAAAGAGGCTGAGCTGGAGGTGTGGATGGTGTGCAAGGTCAAGGGAATGGATGGGATCACCCAGTGAGAGGGTTAAACAGGGGGTCCCTGAGAACCCCAACATGTAAACATGTCCAAGGACACAGAAAAGGCAAAGGGGCTGAGGCCATGAGGCCAGAGGAACAAGGAGACCAGAAGAGTGGGCTCTCATGCAGCCAAGAATTACTGCTTCAAGGTGGGAATAAAATCAGCCAGGTCAAGTGCTGCCACGAGGTCACTTATGCTAAGAACTGAAATGAATTTGCTTTATGTAGTTGTTAACTTTTCTCCAACCGAGCTGAACCATCAGTAACGAGAATAAGAACTATGATTGATACGGACTTGTATCCACCACCTTTCCATTGGCACACGGCTAGTAACTGATAGCGCCTGACTCTCGGGGAAACTGCAAACACTGTAGGGAGATGAAATAAATGCTACCTCCATTCATTTATCTTCCTCACAGAGGTATGTGGAGACACTCCATGGCCTGGTGATGTTTGTCCATAGCCCCATATCAAGACAAGTATGTAACAAAGACACACTTGGGCAATGCAGACAACAATATCTTAACCCACCCACCGTAAACCCTTCTAGAAACCTTTGCCACAAACAAGGCCCTATTCACCTTCTTATCTGCAAATTATGCTGGACTGCTCTACCCCATCTCCCCAGAGCCCATTCTCCTGATCTAGTCCCTGATACAGTTCAGACACATCGCCTGTATCTCTCCTGTCGTGGCTCAGCCCGTTCTTCCTAGTCCTCCTACAAACTCAATTTCACCAGCAGGTTCAAAGAGAGCAAGTGGGTGACAGGGTGAGGGAGGTGGAGAAATAAAGAGGAAAAGGGCTGCTATGGACTCGAGTCTAGACAGAGACACCATAACCCAGACTCTCCGTCTCCCGAGCCTGAATTCTCACATCTTCCAAGGGAGTCAACAGCAAAAAGAGCATGGGATTTGCACCTGAGTATCTGAGTTTAAAACCCAACTCTCCCACTGAGGAGCTGTGTGATCATGCGCAAGTTACTTAACTTGGCTGCGCTTGGCAGCCTGGTAGGCTCATTGGTAAAACAGGGGAAATGATGTTTTACATCAACACCTCATGGGGTTGTTGTTAAGTATACTGGAGATAAAAGAAGTACTTTAACAAACTGCTCAGCAAGTAATAAGTTAAGCAATTAATACACTCTGACTTCAGGGTCACTCCTGCTCCAGTCCCCAGACACTTCCTCTGAGACTTGGGAAAGAGGTGGTATAAATAAATCTTGCTGCTTGTACAACTAAAGCCACACACACACTCACACACACACACACACACACACAGCAGATCAGAACCACCACTTCAAACACACCCAGGAGGGAAGCCGATGCCATTGTGCTTCCCCTGCAGATAAATTTCAAACCAGACAGGGTGCCAGTCCCCTCCCAACCCTTTGTTCTAAACTGTTCCAGCCTAGAGCTCCCTACCTTCCTCCCAGCTGCTGATTAAAGACCCAACATAAACCTGGCTCCCCTGGCCTGCTTCTCCCACCCCTACCAACCCAGCTCAAGGTCCTCAGAAAGCACCCAAACATGCTGCTCCCTCCCCTGCCAAACAGAGTGGCCAAAAATGAATCCAGCTTCTGAGACCTTTGCCTGCTGTCTCCTGGAGCACCCCAGGAATTAACCCAAGCACTGGAGAGGCTATGGGGAGGGACTTGATGAGAAACGAGAAGGGCAGAAGTTCCCCTTGTTTAATCGGACCCAGGAATCAGGGGTTTGGAGGGTCTCCCGGGTGGGCAGCATTCCCAGGGAAGAGAGTGGGGGAGGGGATCACTGGATGGGATCAACAAGTGGAAATATGGGCGGCACAGCGGGCCAGGAGGGAAGTCCGGACTTCGTCCAGGGCAGGGAGTGCCCTGGTTTAAAGGGTGGGAGGCTGTGAAAGGGAATGTGTTCTGTTGCTTTTCACCAGGCCCCCAACCCCACCTCAGACACAAAAACACAGTGACTCAGTCCCCTGCTCAAGCCAACCATGGATTATCTGGGGTTAAAAACAGGCCAGAGAGGAGTGAGGGAAGGAAGAGAAAGTCTGTCACAAAAAGGAGACCCTTCTCCCCTCCAAAGGCCTTTCAGAAATAAAATTAATGGAATGTGTCTCAGTATCATCCCATGAGGACTGGGGTGAGGACCAGGGGGGGGAAACGTGGGGGCTTTTGTCCCTGCTGCCCAGCTTCTCCCACAATGATCACCATGGCAACCAAAGCCCCCTGTTGCCTAGGTGATGGCAGCCAGGTCCTGGAACCCATACCCAGCATCCAAAGCGAGAGAGGTTATGGAGGTGGGGGGGCTAGGGACAGAGCGGCAGAGAATGGGGTTTCTCCTCTGGCGGCCCCAGCTTTTGTATAAGCTCTGGGATCAGGTTTCTTCAGGAAACAATCAGAGGCCTTTGGAGAAAATACACTCAGAACCTGGCAACAGGCAGAGGGAGTAAGGCCCTGGGTACACTGGGAGGCATGGGAGGGCCTGGTGTTGGCCAAAAGGCAGACCAAGACTAGGCCCTCCCCACTGCCCGCTTGCAGGAGCAGGCTGGGTGGATGAGACCTTGGACCCAGACTCGGGCATCCTCTGGCCAGGCGCG